CCCTCCCCTCCCTCCCTCCCTCTCCAGCTCGTCTTGGTCTCTGTCAGTCTTGCTGTTGATGATTGAATTCTGTCATGGGGTCTGCATGGTGACCGATACGCGAGACCCCACACAAACCGAAAAGGAAGAACAGCTTGGCTCTCTGGATGTCTGTCTCCCTGTCTTTCAGGATACCGTCGTGACACGACACGACACGCGTCAATCCGGAATGGGGCCAGCAGGGAGGTGAAGGGTGGTGAGAGAGAGAGGAAAGGAGGGAGGGGGAAGGCACACATGCGGGGGATGGATGGATGGGTACATCCATCCATCCATCCATATACATGCATACATACATACATACATACATACACAGCGCACGCAATGCAGTCAGTCAGGAAGTCAGAGAGGCAGCGAGTGAGTGAGTCAGCAGATGGCAAAAAAGCACACAGTCAGGCCTGCAGGGCATATGGAGGAGGAATGAAATGCACACACGTACGCAGCAGAGGCACATACATACATACATACATAGGCATCTTCATAGGGAACGACACACACGCACTAGCACTAGGGGGGATAGGAGGATGACTGACATTACACACACATCACACACACACACACAAGCTTGTCTGTCTGTCTGTCTGTCTGTATCACCAGAGCTCGAATGAGTGAGAAAGTGGGTGGGTGAGGATAAGAAATTGTTGACAAGGACAACACACACACCAAAACAAACAGAGAGCAACCTCACCTCACCTCCCCGCCCGCCCTCACACCATTCATTCGCCGCTCATGTCACAAACAAACAACAAATAGCTTCCTCCCTCCCTCCCCTCCTGCCCTCAATGCCTGCCGCCCTCCCTGTCCTCTCTCTCGCGCGCAATCGAATCGAACAAGGATATCTAGATAGATAGCCGGCTGCTGCACTAACTAAATCAAAGGTTTTGTCGATGATACCACCCACCCACCCACGAACACGCCATGACCCATGACACGGCACAGCACGACAGCTGGCAGTGCATGTGGCTTGCACCGCCCACGTGTGTGTGCGAGACAGAAATGGATGGAACCAACCCATGTGTGTGTGTGTGTGTGTGTGTGTGGATGAGTGGGTGGCAGCAGAGTGTGTCTACACGGGTGTGTTGTGTATGTGTGTGAATGAATAATGAGTATGAGTGGTGTGCGAACCTGACTGTTAAATACACGTGCGTCACCCCTCCCGCCTGCCCCCTCTGCTCGCCCATCCATCCATCCTCCATTTATCTGCCGCCCATTGCCAGGCTGCCAGCCAAAGGCAAAACAGTTCCTGATTCTCGATATTTCAATCAGGTCCGGATGACAGTAAACGGCGAAGCGAGGCTCTCTGTCTGACGTCGCGCGGCCAATTTGGCCGCCACGACTGCAGACAGAGAGGGAGGGCAGTTACTCATTCACTCCATGGCTTGCTGGATGGCGGTCAGGCAGGCAGGCAGGCAGGCGGGCAGCAAGGGCAAGGACAAAATAACGATCCAATGACGGGAGAGAGACACCACACACGACACCGGCCGTGGCATATGCGCGTGAGGGAGTGCGTGCTGGCGTGGTGTGGTCATGGTGTCTGTCTGTCTGTCTATCTGCTTCGGCAGGGGAAATGGTTCGAGAAAAATAGCGGCGAAAAAGATCAGACTCTTCACTCATTCCAAGCAGGCGGGCGGGCAGGCAAGATAAATGTGTCGATCGGTCAATGAGGCGCTCAATCAGTCAAACACCCACACACCCACTCGCCCACCCTCCCTCCCTCCCTCCCTCCCATGGCACATCCATCCATCCATTCATTCACACACAGAGAGACAGACAGAATGAAAACACTGGTTTGGAGAGAGACGGCGAGAGAGAGAGAGAGAGAGAGAGAGAGAGGGTGGGTATGGGGAAGTGCGTGAGTGAGTCAGAATGTGTCAGTCAGCAATAAAACCACTCGGCGGTCAGTTGGGAAGATTGGCACGCCAAACGAGAGCAGGCGGTCCAAATGTTGAGCACATCGGCCTCCCGGCCAGGTAACCAGCACATCTGTCTGTCTGTCTGCCGATGACCGACAAACACAGGGCGATGACGGCTTCCTGCCCCCCCGCCCACCCGGCGGCAGACGTGATCAGATCAAGCAGCAGCCGGCCAGCCACAGACACAGACACCTACCTTACCACACCACGGCAGCACATTGCTATGTCATGTTATGATGGCTTATGTATAAAAACCAGCGCACACGCCGTATACACACATACACATTACACATGCCCCAGCAAGTCGGTCAAACCACATCCATCCATGCATCCATGCATGGGCGGGCGGGCGGGCGGCACAGCAGAGTGACAAAGAATCACCCGGCCTACCGTCGATCCGGAAGAGTTGCGTTGCAAATGGCTGCTTGCTTGCTGGCCTTCTCAGAGGCAGACAGGCAGACGACACCCACGCCGCCCCTCGTATGTATCATAATCACTCCAGAAATGCACAGAGGGTAGAAAGCCAGAGAGAGAGAGAGAGAGAGAGCGCCACTGCCAGCCAATCCAAACACCCCACACACACACGACACAGACGGAGAAGTGATCGAGACATCGACGAGTGCGACAGAAGGGGACACACAGGCCATGCACTGCACGCACGGTGAGAGGTGTGGGGCGGGTCGCTCAGCAGCCGACAAAATGACTGTCAACCAATCTACATACACACGGATGCACGGCGCACACGTCACGAGCTCAGGAGAGACGCCGACAGCCGCACGAATTCCCTGCGGCTCAAGTCGACTCCCCTCCGGCTCGATCCGCGTGCTTCACTGCAGCCTGTTGTGCCATGCCGTGCACCCACCCGCCCCCCGACCCCGCCCTCCGCAGACGCCCTGCACTGCACGCCAAGAAAGCAACATGGAGGCGTGCAGGCAGGTGTTGATTGCATGGTCGCAAGCAACCACCGCCAGAGTGAGTGGAGTGGGGGGTGGTGAGTGGAGTGCCTGGCATGACTGACTGAGTGAGTGACTGACTGTATGAGCAGTGAGTGCAGGAGGAAGGTAGGGCAACATCCTTGATATGATTGATTGATTGATAGAGGTGAAAAAGACTCACATACGCTAGGCAGACACACATAGACACACCCACGGGGCGGGGCCCACACGAGAGGGTGGGTGAGGGACAGCGAGGGAGGGAGGGTGTCTGCCCTGTCCATGTCTGTCTGTCTGTCTGCCTAACTAAAAGGACAAAATATAATCAGTATCGTCAACAATCACATCATCGATCGGTCGGCGAATGGCACCCACCCGTGGCATGCATTCTCCATGCGACAAACACACGTACATCAATCACATACCACACGTACATCAATCACATACCATAGGGACGGACATCAGTGGAGTGGAGGGACAACCAATGTGGCAATGAATGCAATGAATGCGGGGATAGATAGAGCGAGATAGAGTGAGAGCGACATCGAAATGCACACACACATACACATACACACACGAGACGCACGCAATCGCACAGGTCATCCATCCATCCACCCGCCCCGCCCCCCCAATACACACACATCGCGCATCGTACGCACATACGCTTTCACACACTAGGACACAGCAAGCCATGCAGGTGTTGTTAATCGATGCCTGTCGAGTAGAAGGAAGGAAGGCATGTACCTACCCACCAACCAGAGAGAGGTATCTTTGGTATGAACGAATGAATTGGCTCCATCCATCCATCCAGCCGGCTGTCTCTCTGTCTCTCTGTCTGTCTGTCTGTCTGTCTGTCTGTCGGCCCGTCCGCCCGGCACGAGTCGGCTCTCTTGAGAAAACTGTTGATTCACACAAAGATACATACCATACAAACATTCGTACGATAGATAATGCAGACAGACAGACATACAGACGTAACATGACAATGAATGTACCAAACGCAACGCAAGGAGTATGTCAGTTATGTGTGTATGGATCTTATATATTGTATAAGCAAAGCGGGCTGAGCTGAGCTGCCGCCCGCACGGCACGGCGCACATCCATCCATCCATCCGTCCGTCCGTCACACGAGGCACACCACATCTATCTGCCTGCCTGTTAGTAGTTGGCATGGCATGCATGTATGGCCAAAAGCAAAAAACCACTGACTGATATGCGGCGGTTGTGACTGTGAAATGGCTGTCACGACCGCATACAGCAGTTGCAAATGCAACCCCTCTCTCCCTCCCTCCCTCCCAGCCGCTCCGTCCGTGTCAGTCGACCCATGAGGTACATCATCCCTCCCTCCCTCCCTGCCATGGAGCGCCCTCGTGACTAAACCAAATGGTCATCATCACCACGATCGACGGAAAGAGAGATAGATGATAGATTGATAGAGGTCAGGAAGGAAGGACCGACGGCCGGATGGTCAGGTTGAGAGAGGGAGGGGAGCCGTCGCTCACTCACGAGGTGACTTCCCTCGTGAAGCCTCCCGCCTCGCTCATCGCCCTCCCCCAGTTATTTATTGATGATTGTAGACTGACCACATGAGCCACTTAGACAGACAGACAGACAGACAGGCCACGCACGCGCACCACACACCAAATCACGCCACTATGCCAACCCAATGAGATGGACATGTATGACATATGGATGGATGGATGGGATGGACGGTAGGGATGGATGCTCTCCGAAAGAAAGAGACACGCCTGCCAGCCAGCCAGTGAGTGAGATGTGATGCCCAACACCCAATGGATGCATGGTTGGATCTATCTGGATGGATAAATCAATCCACTCACCACTATCCCTCCTTCCCTGCCGTTCCCCTCCCCTCCCCTCTCCATCCCTCCCTCCCTGTGTGTCTCCCCCACCCTCCCTCCCTCCCTCCCTCCCCCCCTCACGAGTATGGCACCCGTATGATGCGCTGCCCCTGCTGGACGCCTTGCAGCCCCTGCTGGACGCCCTGCAGCCGCTGCGACGGTGGCGTAGAGGGGGGCGGAGGGGGACCGCCCACACGCTCCTGCACACAATCACATCACACACAGAGAACAGACAGACAACGTGGTCAGTCACTCCTTCCTCCCTTCAGTGCATCCCATCCATCATGCGCCGGTCCGTCCCGTGCGTACCTGCCACGGGTGTTCCTCGACGGCCACCCCGACGGCCGGCCCCCCGACGAGTCCGTTGCTAGCCCCGACGAGTCCGTTGGTAGCCCCGACAAGCTGGTTGGTAGCCCCCACCCCGACGAGTCCGTTGGTAGCGGCGGCTGCCGCTGCCGCGCCCGCCATGTTGCCGCCCGTGTCCTCCAAAAAATTCAAAATCGACGTGAGCTCGAACGGCATCTGGATCATGGGCGGGTGAGCCGGCACCATCTTGTTGGTCGCCTTGCGACCCGCCTCAACCACCACATCGCTCTCGTCATACGGCGGCGGCGCCCCCACAGCCGCTGCTGCAGCTGCGGCCTGGGCCTGCGCCTGAGCCTGCGCCTGCAGCTGAGCGTACAGGCGGCTTTGCATCTTGTAAGGGTCCTGCATGAGCTGCATGTTGGGTGAGGGCGGGGTGAGGGGGATGGACTGGGCGGCGGCGTAGGGGTGGCCATTGATGTTGGTCGTGACGACCTGGTGCTGCTGGGCGGCGGTGAGTGTGTTGGGGTCCTGGTGGAGCCGGGTGAGGTCAGTGAATGAGGGGAGGGGGATGGTGAAGGGGTTCCCGTCAGGGGCGGTGGTGCTGCTGGCGCCACCGTCCGGCACCATCTCGTGCGGCAGCCGCTGGGGCGCGGCACGCACGAAGCTGCTCGGGTCGCGACGAGCAGACGTCACGGGGTCCGGCAACTTACGCAACTCGGCGAAACTGATCGACAGATAGATGCACACACACACACACAGAGGGGCAATGAGAAGGTGGGCTCAGGCTTCCTTTAGATCAGAGAATGTGTGATGTGATGCACCTACGTACCTGTGAGCGAAACCGCAGTTCAAATCGAAGCACTGTCCGGCGAAGTACGGCTTGCATATCTTGGTGTATTTGAGGTCAGGCTTCTCACGACGCTCCGCATCCGTGTGAGCAAACCTGATTGATACCAACGATAGATACGTCACACCATCACACAAAAGGCAGGCCGAGGAGAGAAAGACAGACAGACACACAAGTGACCTCAGTTGCCACGCTCAACCGGCGTGAGACACGTACGCATCAGCACCCTCATCTACCCACCTCACCTGCAAGTGTTGCCCCAGAGACACGCTCCCTTCTCGTAGAACCTGCAGGCGACAGCGTATGAGGCACAGTGTGCGAGGACTTCATTGCCTGAGATGCCTGTCGCTTCACTCACTGACCTGCACTTCTTGGTCTTGTAGAGGATGCTCCTCGGTTTGGCGTTCTGTGACTGACCGCTCCCCGGCGGCGTGGGGTTCTGCTGCGCCTGCTTGGCCTTCATAAACAGGTCCTGCTGCTGCTGCAGCTGCTGTTGCTGCTGCTGCAGCTGAAGCGCCTGCAGCCACCCACACAGCACAGGCAGGCAGTGAGACACACGCCACACAGATCTCGTGGTGCATCTGTCGCCACGTGCATCTGTGCGCTTCCCCCCTGGTGTGCGTGTGGGGTTACTTACCTGCAGCTGCTGCGCCAGCCGGTAGGCCTCGGTGTAGGGGTCCCCACCCGATGGCGGCACCTCGCTCCCAGACAGCATCTTGCTTTGCTGGCGACTGACGCTCCTCCACACGACACACAGATATGATGCGACAGTCAGACAGACGATAGAGACCAGCTCACGGAGCAACTACTCCTGAGCTGCGAGCTTGGAAGCTCGCAATGCTCTGCGATTCGTTGATTCGAGAGAGGGATATGAATGCCCGTGGAGGCATGAAGGATGGAGTCCCCGCACCTGTATTTCTTTCGGTTCGACATTCCCCTGCCACCCGACGGCTCTCCCTGGACATGCATCGGCGCTAACGGAGATCTCACCGTTATCGGTGGCCAGAGAGGCGCCCTCCTCATCGGCAGGTGAGCCCAGCCGGCCGTGAGTGAGTGAATGCACTGCGTCAATCACCCCATGAGAGGAGTGAGGGCCGATGACAGACAGGTGTGGATGTTAGTTATGTGTGGATGTCCTGGCAGGTCGCAGACTGCAGCGGGGCCTTTCGAGCTGTGCGGGAGGGTCGACCTGCCGACCGATGCAGCCGTAGCAAAGGTGGGTGAACGTTAGAACACCTTAAGGTAGATGGATTGATACGATGGATTCATTCGCCGTTTCTGTGTGCATCCTGGTTGGTTGGTTTGTTTTGGTTCCTTCAGGCGGCGTTATCGTCAGATGGGGAGGCGCTGGCCGTCGGCACAGCAGACGGACAGGTAAATAACTGAGTGCCTGACTGCTGAACGCAGGCACGCAATCAGTCAGTCAGTCTGTCACTCAGGTTTCCGTTGTAACATTCTTCTGACTTTCTGTCTGTTCGTCACGTCATGCAGGTGTTGGTGGTGCTGCACCCATGTGACCCGTCGAGCTGGCAGCTGGTGCAGCCCATCCACTACACCATGTCCGGGCAAGACGGCGGCGACGGCACCACCACCACCACCACTCGCCTCCACCACATCACGGCAATGGTGGGTGGTCGGGTGGCCATTTATGCGCAACCATGCCCTAAGCTTTCTTGCTCTTGTTTCGAATGCCGTGCTGTGTTTGTTGCTCAGTGTTGGAGTAGGGACCATTGCCGTCTGTATGTCGGGGACGACAGGGGAGTCGTCGTGGAGATCGCACTGGCGCATATCATGACACTGGTGGGTGGGTGGGAGGGTGGGTGGGCGGGCGACTCACTGACTGACTGACTGACACGGATAGATAGATTGAAGACAAACCATCAGTGTGCAGTGAGCACATGAGGCGCCATCTCACGTGCATACCATACGTGTGTGTATGTGTTCGTTCAGTCGTCACGAAGGCGCTCCGACGCAGCCTTGTGTGCCGCCCAGCTACTGGTCAATGGAGAGGTGGGCCCACCTCTAATAGCCGGCCAGACCAAGATGTCTGTGTCGGTCTTTGTCTACTGCAGTGCGGCGGCGTCACGGGTCTCGATGTGGCGCCCACGAGCGCCGACCCGTCACTAGATGGCCTGGACGCATTCTTCGCCCAGGAGGACGGCACCGCGCACAGTGACGATGCCCCTGCCGTGGCGTCAGCTGCATCCGGTGGCTTCGCCAGCTGCAGTGCCGGACAAGCATCCAGAGCGCCTCTGCTCGTTTCCGGTCCGCAAGAGACAGACAGGGAGGGAGAGCCGAGCAACTTGTGCGTGTGGTTGGTTGGCTGATTGGTTTATATATCCAGGGGAGAGTCGGAATGGTGTGTATCAGTGGGAGGGCGGCGTGGGCCTCACACATATCGGGTCGAAGCCCCACCAGGGACAGCACGCTGCCTGCTGGAGGACACCAAGACAGCAACACCCACCACACGCCCCCACACATACGGAGGGTAGGCAGACGAGCTACGCGTCCTTCCATCGAAATGGTGCCACTCACATCCACAGAGTCCCTTTTGCCTTCCAACAGATGCCGATGGGTCGTCCCCCAAAACCGCACACAGCATCCTATCTGCCCGTCCAGGCGGTCGGCTGTGGGTGGCGGACTCGCACGGCCTCGTGCTCACCACTCTGCGGTTCACCCACCCCACTGCCCCTCCGCCATCCCTCCATCTACTGCAGAGCGTGTCGTCGTCGCGCCTCGTCTCCTTCGCCCCCCTCTCGCCATCAGTCCTTCTCTGCAACGTCGACAGAATCGCTGTCGAGCATGAGTGGACGGCCGCAGGCAGCGCTGTCGACGCCAAATATGACGCTCGGTGGCACGTCCTGTGGATGCTGGCGGCTGACGGCACTCTGTCGCTCATCGCGATGAGGGAGAGTCGAGCCGCTCTGGTGGGGGCGTTGGTGGAGGGCGTCACGCAAGCCTTTGGCTCCGTTGTCAGCAGCCCGGCGTCGAGCCCGTCGGTGGGCGGCCGCGAGCCGACTGGTGAGGGGCTGAAGAGCGGGGGCGGTACAGTGAGGCTGGCCGAGTGGGCCAAGGAGGTGATTGGGCGTGTGGTGGATGAGGTGGCGTCGGAGGCGTTTCGTGATGAATGCGGCCTGCCCACAGACAAGACTGCGATGACGGACGGAAGCAGAGACAGGGTGAGTGGCGACACGACACCTGGCGCTTCTCGACACCTCACAACACATTTGCAGCACCGGCTGTGTCATCCATCTCGCCTGCAGTTGCTCTCAACGATCGAGATGCTCGTTCCCGTGCTCCGGCTGCTCACGTCACCCGACCGGCCTCCGTCTCTTCCCAGCGTCGAGTCGCTCCCCCAGTCGTCCGCTTTGCTCACGACTCTGCGGACATGGGAGACGCTGCTGCACGCGTCAGACCCCACCTTCACTCTCCCTGCCCCTCTGACCAACTTCCCCCGTGCGGCAATGGCGGACGACCGGGGTGGCGAGGCGGATGACGCTGACGGCGGAGTGCCGTCGTGTGTGGTGTTTGAGAGCCGGTGGGCGTGCGTGGCGGAGGCGGGACAGCTGCCCGGCAACAAACCCGACATCTACCGACAGGTGTGTGTGGTGTGTGTGTGTCACACACACCACAATTAATATGCCACGGCAAGCTGCTGGCTGTTGTCTTGGGAATGTATTAGGTGTTTGAGGAGGGTTTGGTCGATGTGCTGGCAAAGGGCCAGGTCGGCCCGCCCACCTCTTTCCCCTTCGTCACCTCCCGTCTGCACCAGCCCTACCCCGCAGCCCCGTCAGACCCCTTCATGTCCTCGATGCTCACCAAACGGGCCAGAAACGCCTCCCCACCGTCACACGCACTTCCGAGACGCAAGAAGCCGCGTCACGGGCCGAAGGAGAAGCCAGCCGTCGCCCCTGTGTCGCCACCAGTGGGTGAGGTGGCTGCCCCGTCTTTGGCGCCACCGCCCATCTGTCCGCCCCCCCTGCTGCGTTGCGACCAGCCACTCTCTGTCGACTTGGCGTCTTCTCACCAGACCCTGTCAGCTCTGGCCAAGTGGCTGCTCGACGCCAAGACGTTCTGGTCGTCGGCCGGCTATCGTGAGGCTCTTGAGGCGCTGCACGTCATGGTAGCCTCCCCATCGGTGAAGATCGAAGCCGACACGCTGGTCGAGCAGACAAAGGAGGGGTCGCGAGAGATCTCTCGCGGGGCCGACCAGTCCAGCGGGCTGACGATAGCGTGGACACTCGCGTCGCATCTGAGGAGCGCCATCCAGGAGAGAGGTGGGGAGGTGAGGCGGTACCTGACCATGGTGGGACGGGGCGGGGGTGTCGGTGGTGAAGAGATGGCACACGACCTGGGAGAGCCATCTGAGGGCTGGAAGCCCGATGAGGGGGGGCCTCCGGAGGATGGCGAGCGGCTGCAGGGGACGGATGCAAGTCATGGCGTGTCGTTGCCTGACTGGAGTGAGGCGGCATCGAAGCACTGGGTGACCTTCCTGAGTGACCCGGAGGCAGCAGTGGAGCACGCAGGGGACTTCTTCGTCTCGACCCTATCCACCAAGGTCAGACACAGCATCCCATCCCAGACAGCATACAAGCACACTCACGTGTCAGTCGCCCTGTGTGGACGGCCGTTTGTGGTGCACTTCAGTACATGCGTCCCTCTTCGCTCGATTCGTCCGATACGGCCAAGCATGCCTCTAGCGACCGGCACGACACCGACACATCCACCACCATACAGACCGATGACCCCTCCCCATCAGACCCCCAGCACGACCCCATCACGCCCCCATCCAGCCGGCCACTCATGCCCCCCAACAACACCCAAACCCACCACCACCGTCAGCTGTCCATGCCGGACACACGCGTGGCTAGGGCCTGTGTGTGGGTCACTTATGCGGCAGCCAGCCTCGTGGAAGCAATGGGTCTGCTCAGGTGTAAACAGTGGCCGACGATGGAGCTCCTGCCCAGGACGGCAGACGTGGCGCTACCAACAGCAACGACAGCAGCAGCAGAGGGCAACGAAACGTCCTTGCTCGAAAGGATTTGTCACACAGCATCGCCCCGCGAGCTGCTCCAGCTCATCGAGAGCAAGTGGGACCAGGCCACGGCGTGCCGCTTCAGTGATGCATTCTTCCCGGCCGTCGCACCGCATGACGGTCGCACAGTGGTGCTGCGCGACCCATCACGGTCGAAGGACGTGCAGGTGGCAAGGAAGGGGGCCGATGAGGTGGAGTGTGCGAGGGGCAGGGCGGCCATTGCCGTGAACGGGATGGGATGGGGCGAGGCCGCCAGGAGACTGCTCGTGGTGGGCAGGCACAGCGAGGCCAGCAGACAAGAAATCTACAACACGTAAGTGAAGCTGGCTCGCACACGTGGAGTATTCAAGCTGAGACTGGCACACGCCTTGTCGCCTCCCTGTGTATGTGTCTGTGTGCAGGTACTCCCATTACGGTGCCCACGGCACCGATCTCGCCACCCTGCACTGCCTGCTGCAGCAAGACTTCGCCAACCCACCACCCCTTGTCGCTCCACAGAGCAACTCCCCGGCCGCCCCGTCGCAGTCCCCATCTCCCGACGAGACGCAGAGCGACGAGAAGCAGGCCGACGGCAATGGCGCTGGCGGTGCCGTGAGTGCTGGCGATGGCGTGTGCGGCCCGGTGGAGCTGGCTGTGAGGAGCTATCCCGCTGTGGTCCCATGGAACGTCTGCCTTTGGACTATCGGTGAGTGAGCGGACACCGTACACACAGACCACACACAGACACGACACCCTGGTACAGCTGTGCGCTGTCTGTCTGTGTGTTCCTAGGCGGTGGGAGCCGGTCTCACAGCGCGCCAATGTTCCCCTGCGCGTCATCCATCACCCTGCGCACCAGCCATGCTGTGGGCCAGCTTGCACTGGCCTCATCGTCGTCGCTCGGCTGCCCCTCGCCCCCCCGCCCCTCATTCATCCAGGTGCCTGAGCAGGCCATCCGCAACCTCGCCTCCTACCTCGTCCGCATGCTGCCTCTATTGTGGGCACATGACGACCGGTCCCTCGCACACCAGCTCACCGAGTGGATATGCCGGCTCGCTTTGGCCCTTGCTGTGCCGGCTATCGGGCCTGCAGAGGTGCAGCTGCATCAGCACTCTTGTATGGGCGATGTGGCAGTGCTGCGAGGGGCTGGAGGGATGGATGTGTGTGAGAGTGAGCCGGAGGGCGGCGTTCTGGGCTTCCACATTCGCAGCGGGCTTGTGGAGCTGTTGCTGGGGGAAGCAGAGGGCATCCACGGGTTTGTGCGTCTCGGATACGCGTGTGGTGTCGTCCCGGAGCTGACCAAAGGCGGCCTTCCGTCTTCCCTGCTGCCCTTCCTCCTGGCCGCCCTCAGGAGCACCCCATGTGCCTCTCTCACACCCTCCCTCCTGGACGCCACACTGACAGGCATCAAGCACATGCTGCCAACCGTGCCTCGTCTGGAGCTGGCGGACCGGCTGCTGCAGCTGGCGAGTGGCGATGGCGGTCGGAGGCCACGGCGTTCTGCATATGCGGTGGTTGGGCGGCGGCTGTTGCTGGATTGTGTGGGAGGGGAGGAGCGAAGCTGTGTGTTGGGTCGGCTGGTGAAGGGCGGGTGGGTGGACCAGCTGCCGCTGACAGTGGGGATGGAGATAGCTGTGGGGATGTGGGAGCAGACAGACTAGACTGATGCATAGAGGCGTGGTAGGTAGTGTGGTGTCTGTCTGATGCTTTATGCATATGCGTGTATGTGTCATGAGACCTGAGGCGTCGGTGTGCCGACAGACAGACAGACAGACAGAGAGAGAGACACCATCTGTACAGCCAGCCGACCCCCTCGTCGAGATTTGCAATCACAAGATACTCCATTGCACAGTCAGTTTGCAGCGACAAGGCGCCAGGCCATCGATTGTCATCCTTCACGCACACTTGGCACGGACTCATATTTGATGCTCGCTGCCCCCTTGGCGCCTGTCCGCATGGGGCAGAGAATACGTCAATCGTTCCAGGCAGGCACCGACTCGCAGGACAACGAGAGACAGCTTGTGCGAGACCAACATACCAAAAAATGTCAGGCTGTCAGTCATGAATGAGTAAGTCAGTCCTGAGTAAGCTCGACCGATCGCACAAAAACCCGAAGACAAAATCTCCACTGCCTGCGACAGTGCGATGTATGCCGCCCTACACATCACTCAGAATTCCTCTTGGTCAGCGAGGAGAGGCTAGTGAGGCAATGGACCCCCTGTGGCTGCCGTGACGCGATGCCCTGAGCGGATCATACCTCGACTGACGCCGAGACATCACCGCTCTGCTCGGCGGTGGCAGGCCGTAGTTCGATGGCACGGCGATGCGACAGAAGGTGTCCATGTCCCAGGGGCCCTCGACAGGCACTTCTCGCCTCTTGGCGTTTGTCTGGATGTAGGAAACGATGCGTCGAGGCACCAGCCCAGAATTCAGCAAGTCGTCTCTGCAATGGCCAACCAAAAAACAGAGGCATCCATCACTCGGACGTTAGGCTGATGTGTGGAGGATATGGTTCGTGTGTCAGTCAGTACTTGGTGATTGTTCCCGGCTGTGTGGACAGCCAGTCGACGGTGAGGAAGAGCTCCTGAATGCGGATCAGGGAGGCGCCTTCCACCTCAGGCAGAGAGCTGCTTGAGTCCTGCGTCTCCGGCGAGAAGCGCTCCTTCTCCTTGAAGGTCCGACCTCTTTTGCGCATGAGGAACTCCTCTTCGATCATCCACTGGTACAGGGGCAGAAACTTCTCGTACCTTGTTGGGATGCGATACTCGGGCGGGCACATCTGCACACAGACACATGTGTCTCTCAGAATCTGATGCTGGCTGGCTGGGTGCGTTTATCTGACTTCCTTCAACACAGTGCTTTTGCAGGCTGACCATGATGAGGAATTCCTCAAGACTGAGGCTGTCACTTCCCTTGAGTGAGTGCTGCGTTATCAAGGAGGATGCGACGTCCCTGTGGGTCACCCATAGGAGACATGCACAAAGAAACAGGTCAGTATCTCGTCCTGTCATTAAGTCCATCCCCTACTCAGGCTTACTGCGAAAAGAACTGTGACTGCTTCATTTCTTCGAGTGTGATGACACCGTCGCCACTGGCGTCGATCGATCGGAAAATCTGCTCCAGCTCCAGACGTTCCTCTGCTGGGATGACCGGCCGTAGCATATAAGCCTTGAGGCTACTTTCCACAGCCAGTGTCTCCCTCTCCTCCTCGTGAATCCATCTCTTATATATATCGTGGTGCCTGTCGCTTGAACATGGATTGAACACCGACAGAAATCTGCAACAGCGAGAGGATGTCAATTTCGACATGCATCGACAATTGCTCACTCTCTGATATCGTAGCTCTGCTCCTCTCTCTGGGAGGCGCTGGTCGACAACAGAGTCGCAAGAGTGCCAGCAAACATCTTTGCCTGCAAGGCGCATACACACACCAATGTCATCAGGATCAGCAGACATGTCAGGACGATTACGAAGCGATGTGCACCTGCACAGCCATGGCAGCCTCTTCACCTCCCTTCCTATCTCGATGAAGAGGGAAAAGGACAGCGATACCCAAATGAAGGACCCCCAACATTGCTGCCTTCGTGTGATTGGCTTACGTGTCCTTTGTCTTTTGTTTAACCACATTCAAAAGATCCTCGTAAGTGATCTTGCCCGTCTTGGAAGCATCTAGCTTCTGACACACATGCCCGCACGCATACAAATGCAGTGCTTGTAGCGAGACACGGCCATAGACGAATTCCTAGGTCGCGCACCTTGAAGAGCTTATAGAGCAGCATGACGTCCAGCCGTGTCAGTGGCCGACAATGGCGCTCCTTGTGCTTCTTGCAGAAGAATGGCATCGAAAAGGCATTTTCCTCATTTGTCCACTCGAGCATCACCGATGAGGCCTTTTTGTCGCGTCCTTCCCACGAGATCGATATCCTCTCGTGTGCCGGCGTCTTGTCTCCGCTCTCGGCAGCGGAGAACTTGTGTAATACGGCCATGACGGTCTGGTTGCCCGTGCAGAAGGCGATATAATCCGCGAGTTGTACCACCCCGTCGCCGTTCTCCATCTCATTGAACACCTCCTCTGCGGTCGACTCTGCCTCGGCAACAGCCCGGCTCCTGCCTTTGGCTGGCACATTGAGCACTTTCATTAACGCTGAGGTGAAGACGCGGATGAGCAGATAGAACTCGGTGAAGGTGAGGCTCTTCTCCGCCGAGAGATCGAAGAACACAAAGGAGAGTCGAAGTTTGGTGATGGGTGTGATGGCGGCTGTGAGGATCAAAGCGGCAATAAGAACTTCGACGATGTCAGCCTGCACACGCAAGCAGAGACGCCGATAATGCTGCATGGCCAATGAATGCGATTGATCATCGAGCTCACCCTAGCCTGCCAGTGTAGTGGAGAGACGACGTAGTGGAGAGACGACATGAGAGCAGAGAGACCAACGACATGATGGAATGCAGTGGAGAGAAGATAGATCATACCTGATCAAAGGTGAAGTGTTGAAACAGACTCTGTGCGTTCTTGACCGGAATGGGATGCAGCGACTTCTGCAGAGACTTCGCAGGAATCCGAGCACTGCCTTTCTCATTATCGGCGAAGCGATTGAAGATGTCGCAGAGCTGCTGAACATCGAATCGTGCCTCGTGCAGCAGAGAGGCCGCCGGGCACAGGGAGGACGCCGTCGTCGACTGAAGATGAGATTCTACCAACAAACTCACCTCGGCACCCATCGATGTTGGAAAAATTCAGGACCCGCGAAGCTGGCTGAGGGAGGCACGCTCTTGCCGTGTCCAAATTGTCCGTCCGCGAGGAGCAAAAGCTAGCAATCCCCTTCGGTTCCGTTGGTGGGGGCTTCCATGCGAGCTTGGGGGCTTTGCATGCATTTCGCGAAACGCGGCGAACGCGTAGCGAGTCCCGACAGCCCGACGGAGGAGGGAATTTCATGCTTGACACACTGTAGCACTCGCCTTCCTCCTTCGCCACACTGCGAGCTCCCCGTGATACCCCGTGATTTCGGGCCGCGCTAAGACGGAGATGTCACCGAGGAACAGCCCTTGTCCTCTCTCGCCGGCCAGGGGGATAGCCGCCTTGAAGCCCTGTCAGGTGCACGGCGACTCAGAGCCAGATCTGGATGTGATCAGCATCTCATCCAACCAGCACGGGACTGACCCCATCGAAGAAGGCAACAGGCCAGCCGATGGCGACCACATCGTGCTCACACCTTCCCAGATCGGCCACCAGGACGACACACAGGCAGGGGACAGCACCGCGCAACCGCAAGACACCGTTGTTGATCATGCTGTCAAGCAGCCCCCCGGCCAGCCCAGCGGCACCCAAGATGACGAAGAACACAGTGCGGGGCAACCACCTTTCTATCGAACAGCACTCTCGTCGACGAGCACCGCCTTCACATTGACAGACAAGGTCGCCGCTGCGGAGAAGAATCATCAGCACAGTCAGCCGTGGACCAGAGACACGTGCTGCCGGGTCAGCGCTGCCTTGCGCCACAAGGCAGCCCCATAAGGATCGCATGAGTGATGACAGAGGAGATGCCGAGGAACACGTCGACACGAGAGAATCCTCTCGTCGTCAGTTGCGTCGTGAGGAGCGTGCGATAACGGAGTCGGTACGGGACTTTAGGTATGATATTACCGAATTGCCTCAAATGAACGCCTCTCTGTTCTCCCTGCCTGTCCAGGGAGGCTGCAGGATACGAAGCGGCATACGAAGAACATCCAACAATTCTCGAGTACAAGACGATAAGCCATCCTGACGGCAGCACAACAGAAGTGCTTGTCGGCGCGCATTTCAGCCCAGAGCCGCTTAAGACGACCATCAAGCGAGTCCTTCGAGTTATTCTATGGCAGCTGGCGGCGGCCGTCGGCGTAAGCCTGTGTATTGTTGCACTGTTGCTAATTTGCGTTCGTCCATGCGAATCGACGGGTATCCTGGGGATCGCTTTTGACGTCGTGCGTCGAATTCTGGTTGCATTCCTGATAATCCTGGTGGTTGTGCACGTCACCGATGGATGCAGCGGGAGGAGGATCGTGTCTCGGCTGTGGAGATCTCGATTCATATTCGGTATTCCAATGATCGTGTCCATTCTCATTTCTGTGGCCAATCACGCCCGCTGGGATGTCATGTGGAGGCGAAATGTGATCGCTATCATGTGGTGGTGCTGCCTTGTTGTGGCACCATATGCCTATTTCCGGAGCTTTGCTGGGGCCACCGGAATGAAGAACAAACAGGATTACGCCCTGAAGCTTGCAAGTGTCTCCTGTCTCGGCTTTCTGCAGGGCCAAATATATCTGCAATATGTCTTGCCAGTTGGGGTGGCGCTGCACGATGATAATCAAAGGACCCAGCTGGCGTTAATCTCTCTGATTGTCGGGTGGCCGCTCGTGTCTCTGGGTCGGTCTAAGTACAAACACATCTCCCTACTCGTCTGCATGTGTCTTTCTGTGTCTGCATTTTTGTCGGGCACACACAGCGAACAAACTCTTGCGGTCCATACGGGTGAGTTACCTTGACAGGTATATAGCGATGGAACCGAGCTTAATTTGTACGTGTCTGTTAATCAGGATGGACCGCCAACGTATGGGGCTCCTCCGATTTCAGTAATCGCGTCCGCTTATTTGGTGATACCCCGGTGGGCACGAAAACGCGCTTATGTGGTGTGTTTGTTCCTGAACCTCTCCCTGCTTGGTTCTGTGGGATGTTGGAATTGTCAGGGTCCTTCAGGTAATGGTTCTCTGTCCGTGTCACCAGCTCTTATGCGTGCCCCTTACTTGACTCTAGGCAAGAATGATCAGCTTCGGCAGCAAGGTCATGAATTCGATCTTGATTGTCAGGTTACTGTAAGAAGGACGGAACAGCCAGACAGCAAGAAGCACACGGTCCCCTTTCTGTCTCCTATAGTTATGATCTTATTACCGACCTGTTTCTGCCTCACGGTAGGCACCGGATGAGAAAAGGACGGGCATTCATGACCTCTCTTCTACTCAGCGTGTGCCATACAGGCATTTTGCTGTACGTCGGCGCAAAACGATTCTTTCTCTCTGGCCGCTGTACGAAGGCCCCTGACGAATCATGTGACAATATGAAAGTCGACGTGACAGACACGATCGATAATCGTGAAACGGGGTCTGCATTTCTCCAACGGCAAGGCACTGTTATGACGACCGTGAGCTCATCGATAAGCTCCATCGGCGAGAAGATAAGGCGCTCAGCATCGACTTTCAGGGACGTCGTCTCTGTCACCTCAGCGTACGTACCACGGGCACACGAAATGCACACATATCGGCGAAGGCCACCGGCCGACGCCGTGGCGGGGCTTGCTTTTCGCTTCAGATTCGCCTCACTAGAGCTAACACCTCGATACATTCGTCAGCTGACCGAGCAGATGCACGTGAGTTGACGAGTGGATACACACAGACGGACGACAACATGTCGTTGCCCCATCTCTTTCTCTCTTTATCCCTTCCTCTGCTCAGATGTATTCTCTAATGGAGAGCACTGTCCTCGTAGCCACGAATCTCGCTGTAATGGTCGGCCATCAAGTACTGCCGCCAGGTCCTTCTCTCAGCATCTTTCTTAAGGAACTCGGCGCCCTGATCATTTTGGTCTTACTAGAGGCAGCTGCCGAGGCCTTCCTCTTTGTTGTAAGACAACATATCTATGCCGACCACCAATACATATCTTGTCAATCTGTGCTCTTCTCGCCAGGTGATGATCAGGTGGCATAATTTGCCACTCACGCGATCAGAGGAAGAGAGGGGCGTACTGTGGAATCGCACACTTGTATGCCTGTGGGCGAACTTGAGTATCGCTCTAGGGATTCTGGCCTTTTTCTATGCGACTATGGCCAGGGTACACCTGCTTCCAGCAACTGAAAGGCGGTGTGTGCTGAATCCGTTGTGCCTCTTGGATGCGGCAGGTTGTTAATCCGGATGGCGTCCATGTCGAGCCCTCTGACTTCTGCCCACATTTTTCCTTCGTGCACGAGTGACAGCAGCTGATTTTGGAGTGTCTCTGACGTGTTCGAATGGGAGACAGATCGCCGACGTGCTGTCAGACAGAAATGGAAAGACAGGCAAGTAGCGAGCTGACAAGGAAAGTGATGCGTCGTGCAAGGGAATCTGCTGGATTGATGACATTAGTGCCCACCACTGCGGAAAACACGGAACGATACGCATGCATATAGCAGACATCACTTTTGAGAAAAGCGCCATAGAGATTCGGGTGAGACATGGAAAGCCTGGCTGCATAGTAGACGAGCCGGCCATCATGAAACGTGCAGACACGCATGCGAGTGCGATATGTCAGCCTGCGACCAACGGCCCCATATGCGTATGTCACATTTCTACATACAAATGTTTCACTATTCCTGCGTCCTTTCATCTGATATCGGCAGGGATCGCTCCAAGAGTGCGTGTGTGCTGCAGATGTGCGCCACGGCAGCGGTGCTGATGGTCTGGCGCGCCGGAGACAGCAGGATGTCCTGGCAGGCCTGCATGTGGTCCTGGCACGCTCGGCGGACGTCCAATGGGGCCCTGGAAGACGCGATGGCCACAGCTGCATTGTGGTTGAGCGCGAGGGAGAGCTTGCTGGCCTTTTGCGACTCGGCCAACAATCCCAGCGCCTTGGTGATGAAATGCTCTGCCTCGTGGACGAGCCTCTGGCAGTGCAGGACGGCGGCATACCGGAGGCAGGCACGCATGTACCGCACTGGCTGGCTGAGAGACAAATAACGCTGTGTGCATTGCTGGAAATACGACTCCGCTGCCACCTGCTCCAGGACCACACAGCAACAGGAGAGACAAACAAAGAGAGAGACACGGGCATTGGTGAGAGACATGCATCGATCAATTCGCCTGCCTGCAGCTTGTGGTTGGCGGGCAGGAAGTATGCGACCGACAGGGCAGCGTCGAACAAGTATGCCTCGAGTGTGGCCCTGCGGGAGGTGTGCAGCACTGAGAGGCCCACGAGGCTGCCGACGGCCATCTGCAGGAACCGACAAGCTGCGAGCGTCTGTGCGTTTGGGGGCGGGGGAAGAGGCACGTCATTCAGCAGTGGGACAGCAGCATGGGAGGCCTGTCGGTCAGGCGAGACGCTGCGACCCTCAGCCACAGAACTGGGCCTGAGGGATATGATGATGTAACCGACCTGAAAGGCAGGAGGAGATTTGTCTGACATGCCCTTGTCTGTCCATGATGTTTACGAGCAGCTGGAATGCCATTTCAATAAGCAGCGGCTTGGCGCACAGGTGCGTGGGATCGCCCAGGATATTCAGGTTGCCACACACGGAAGAGCCCAGCAACCTGAGAGACACACACAAAGGGTCACTCGTCCATGTCTGTCGATGGTTCTCGCTCACATGAAGCATGCGGCGAATCTCAAGTTGCGTTCGTGTTCCAGGTATGCGATCTGCGCGCCCTCATTGAGCATCTGGATGATCTGCATCCGACACTGAAGGAACTCCACCGGCTGTAAACATGCCTGCACGGACGCATGCATGTACGCAACGAAAGAGACACAGGCACGCTCCCGCCCGCGAGCCATGAGGTCAAAGCTTCGGGATCGAGACAGCTTACCCACAGAGGAAACAGCCTGGATGGATGAACAGATCAGATCACCCAAAGCAAGCGAGGGTTTGACGTGCATGTGTGTCTTACTTCCTCAGCTTGCTCACCGTGACTTGTACAGTATCCTGGTCATTGTGTCCGGACCCCGTTGCACCACAGCGCCCTGCATGGCAGGGATCTCAGGAGGCCCGCCGGCCGCCCAGCCCACGTTGAGGCCAAACTTCCTGGCGTTGACCTCGAGCAGCTTCCTATATCCGAGCTCTTTCTGCATCCAAGCCAAGGCATCGTCCTTGGTGAGGGAGGAGAGGCCCCTGCCGAGCCCTTTGTCTTCTCGCGAGGGGGTGAACACTGATGGATGCGCCGCCAGGATGATGTCGTCGGCATTGATGTCCTCCGTCAGCGGGGTCTGAAACCAGCAAAAGAATCGCGGAATGGACTAGCCTGTCCGTAGCTCAACTGTGCTGCTGCTTTACCGTGTCTTCGCCGTACTCTCTGATGAGCTGCTGCCCGAAGTCCATGGCTTGCTGAGACATCTTCAGTCCAACTCCGGGCTCATACCTGGGCACCACAGGCACGAGCGCTGCGCTTGGCCGCGACGGTCGGGTAACCCGTCTCTCTAGCTTTGTTGCTGCCTCCGGCGGCTGCTTGCGCGGGGGCTCGCTCTTGGCGAGGGTGCGGCTGGCTTGCTTGGCCAACTGTTTCGGCCGTTTGGCCTTCTCCAAGGCTTCTGGACGGCCGACAGGCTGCTTCCTCGCAACAGCAGCTGCCTCAGCCTTTGTTGGTGGTCCTGATGGGGCTCCTAGAAGAGGCACGAGCAGCTGATGACCAAGTGTGGTCGTCTATGGTCCGTGTCTCTCTCACCTGCGCTTGCAGCCAGATCTGCCGCCTTCTCTGCTTCAGAGATGGGGGCGGGGTGCACGAGCGTCACTGCATGAGTTGGCACGGACTCGAGGTCCTTTGCAATGTCGCGCGTCATCTGTTTGATGCTGGCATCCTCCCGCATCAGCTGGGAGTACAGCTCGGCTGTCGAGCCGTAGAGCCTCTGCATGTCACGGACCAGCTCATGCACTCGGGCCTGCACACCAACGTGCCAGAGCACGAGACACAGCAGCTCGCTGCACACACGGTCGTCGCCTTCGAGCGTGACGGTGCCGTCTGGACCAGACGACAGCCGCCTGATGGGCAGCGCAGGCCCCTGACGAAACATCCTCCACACACGAGAGCAGAGCAGGTCCGTTTTGTGATGCCTCCCACACATGCATGAACAGTCAAGTACCTCTGCTATTGCCTCGAGGCCTCTTGTTCCGGCCGGAAGGAGGTCCCGCTTTTCAGCTCCCTCCACACGAGCAGGACCATATGAAATCAGCCTGGTCAGCTGCTTGGCGAGGCTCGTCGGGACCTCAGCAGCAGCGGCAGCCTCAAGAGGCTGCACTGCCACCATGGCTGGTGGTGGCTCGTGTGCGCTGGGCCACCCGAGAGCCTTGCAGTACTGATTCGCCAGCCTGAGGCCCTTGTTTCGCCTCCTTCTCAGTAATGCCCCGCGCATGAAGGCTTGCAGTCGGCGGAGCAGCGGCATGGTTGTTGGTGTCAGGACAGAAGCGTACGGGTCAACAGCTTCGCTGTCGGGTGACACCGCCGCTGACGGTCTCTGTGCTGCTCGAGCGACTCGGAACGTATCCTCCGCTCCCTCCTCCATGGGTGGTGCGGGCTGCTGTGGGAGCGATGCGTTGGAGGCGACGAGCTTGCGGAAGTCCTCTTGCTCGTCCGGCGGCGGGAGCTGGCCCTTGATGGCGTGACTCTTCCTGATCCTGCAAGCACCATCATGCAGACCATGAAGGAAACAATGACACCCGGACACTGCTGGTGGCTGACCTCTCCATGTCTTGTTTGGTTCTGCTCTTCAGAAGGGGCTGCAGGCCTCTCCGCAGCGCCAAGAGAACCACAAGACTCACTGCCAGTGCGGACCTCGTGCCCTGCCGTCTCTCACCGAGCCATGCAAAGACGTCGGAAAGATACGACATGAGACAGGAAAGCTCATCGTCACGCCGCTTGTCCTGCAGGGCATAACGTACGTATGGCCCAATCCACAGAGACACGTGCATGTATGGTCTTTCGCACCTCTGTTGTGACGTCCATGAAGGAGTCGATCGCGGCATTGTCCGGTGGGTGGTGTCTTCCTCTTGCCGCTGGCGACGTTGGTAGACTGGCGCCACTGTGCTGGCCGGTCATCGCCTTCCTTCGCAGATGGGCCTGCTTCCACTTATCGGCGAAGTCGATCCCGTGTTGCAGTGCGTCCTTGCAGAGGAAAAGGTAGCTCATCTGCTGCAAGAAGTCACTCAGCGTCAGGCCGCTGTCTTCGCCCGTGTGGCTCGTGGGGTCCGGCACTCGCACCGACCGACAAGACCTGCCGTCGGCCTGTCCGTTTGTCTCACCAAATGGCATCACCCCCACGCCCCATTTCCCGCCCAGCACGTCCAGCACGAGCTTCATTTTCGCAGACAAAGGGATGCGCGACTTCAGTCCTCGGTACTTGGAATATTTCGTGGTGTAGAAGTTGCGCCCCAGTTCCCATAGCACCAGCGTCAGGTCCGTGATGATCTGCTGCAAATGGCGGCTCAGCGCAGAGAACAGAAAGGGGATGGCGAGAGATGGCAGTCCTCTGGCAGGGCCCCGGACTTTCGCCGTCAGCCGCTGATGTGTGTGCGCAAAAAGGTGGCGCCAGCAGCAGGAGAGGATCGCCGCGCAGGTCTGCCACCGTGCGCTCAGCAGGCGAGAGGGATCGTCCGCTTCCTTCCGCATTTTTGCCTCGAAGAGCCGTCCAAGGTTCTCGAGCGAGGGGACGACAAACTTGGGCAGGAACAGGCGGACAATCCTGGGCACCGCATGCAGGCCGCCAGCTGCCACGGTGTCATGGGCACCCGATTGCATGATGAAGAGGTGGGCGATGTAGCTGTCCAGGGACTCCGCCTTGTCTCTCATGGCAGCGGTGTTATCTTTGTCAGCTGACAGCCGGGTGATCAATGTACCATAGTGCTCATCGCTCAGGGCCGCAGCTGAACAAAGACATAATAAGGGCAGCAATGGCGTCTCGTCTGACCGCCGCCATTATTTTACCCAGGAAGATGGTCTTGATGTGGTAGGTGTTTTGTGTGGGAACTGTTGCACTGTAGACGGACGTAAGTCGCCTTGGCTTCCCGACATGTACGGTGCGATGGGCCAGCTCAGGGCCGAGAGATGGTCCCATGCTGTCCCTAAAGCCGTTGAGCCCTGACGCAGACACAAGACGGTGAGACATGGGATCCGGGGGTATGTCTCGGTTGAGCTGGACTTACAGTTGCAATATGTCTGAAGGAGATTCACGTCTGCAGCTGCGTTTTCGGGAATCTCTGCAGCCTCAGATTCTCGGCCTATGATCGACTCCAGTGGCTTGTCGATGTCGATCTGTGTCATTGCTGGCGCGGCTCCCCTGTCCGCTTCCTCATCCTCCTTACCAGCTGCCTCGATCACCGTCCGCTGTTGTCGGATGGTGGCCCCTCTGCGACATGCAACCGGCAGTGCGCTGGTGTCGAGCCCCTCGATGACTGCAGCTCTCTCGCTGCCCCTCTCGACCTTCATACAAGTGTGGCCGGCCTGTTTTTGACCAAGCGCCACAATTTAAACGAAAGCTCTGGCACGCAGCGTTCTCTTCACCTACATCAATGCTCTTGAGCAGGAAGGACTCCACCGTGAGCGGCTGCAGAGCCTCGACCTCTGTCGTAGCGACACGGCGCAGAGGGTTTTGCAGGATGCTCGACCGCAACCACCGCTCGAGCGGACTTCTCGGCTGGTGTGAGACGTCTCTCCGCTCGCTCGGCTGATCGCCATTTCCATTGCTCGAATGAGAGCTCGAACTCATCTGAGGTACCGGCTTCTTTCTAGCGATCCTCTTGTAGACAAGGCTGCGCAGGTACTCGCTCCGACTGGCTCTCAGTTGAAGCCTGAAGGTCGCGATCTGCGAAGCTCTCTCGATGAGGAGCGGTGTTAGCTTGGCGATAAGCGAGGCTGGGATGGGCTGGGAGGAGACGATGGTCTGGAAGGACACGCCGTCAGTCGGAGCTTCGTCGGGCATGGACGCAGGTATGGAAATGGGAATGCTTCCGATGCAAGCTCCAATGGACTTATTCACCACATGCACAGACGACTGTAGCCACACAATCATCACAAAGAGAAAAGCTCTGCTTGCAACCTAAGCGATGAGTGGCGTTTTGTGGCTTGCCAGGATCTTTCGGATGCTGTCTCGCCCTTCTGCTTTGAAGACACTTCTGACAAGATGGCCGCGGAAATGCCGCTGGATGGTCACGGACGCATAGACGAGCTGAAGGCCGCCACCGAACGTCCTCCTCTCCTTGGCCGCCTCAACGTGATCTGCGATCCACTTTCTCTGCAGTGCGCCACGCCACACGGCTTGTATGAACGTGACACATTGCTTGAAATAAAGGTTGCGCCTCCTGTGACAAAAATAAGATAGGATGGTCGAGTGATTGATCGTGATGTGATGTGTGTGTTCCCTAGACGAACCTTGAGCGGACGGCCCTCCAGTTTCTTTGTATCAGTGTTGCGGCTGCGTGGCGGTCCGCCAAACGTGTGCACTGGATCAAGGACCTGCGTCAACCAGCGATTCAGCCGTCGAGAGAGGTTCGAGTGAAGAGACCACGTGTACATGCATATGTGTGTCCCATTTGTCAGCTCACCTTACGCATTTCTGTATGCAGATTGTGGGGCGGAGCAGACGCATCTCAACCTTACGCTTGCGATGGTACCTGAACAGCACGACAAGACAGCGACACCTCTGCATGGGTTTCCTCCCACCTGAAGACAACTTGGATGGTCTGCGCCGCCCGATTGTACACAACACGCATAAGGAGGGCTCGAATGACAAGGTGGCTGAGCACCACTGCCTGGACGAACGGCGCGTGATCGAACTTAGAGCGGTAGGCGAGCCCAAAGAGCCGCTGACATAGAGAGGACACGGTTGCCAGCCGCTGATTCATCTTGGCTCCCTTGTCCAGGCTCTGAGACCAGCACCAGCGCACACAAAACTAGATTGCAATATGCTTTGATGATGCAGAGGAGGGCTGGCCAACCATTGAGGTCTTGCTCAGGAGCGCTGTCCTGTTGGTCTCCCTCACTCGCCTGGTAGAAACCCGATGCTTTTCTTCGTTGTGTCACTGGGGCGCGTAGTCTCTCACCTTTGGCGGGTCGCCTCCGACACTTCCTTGAGGGACGCCGGTTTGGCCTCGGTCTTCGTCTGCAAGACAGCCTGCTCGGCTTGCGCTCTCATCGCCGAAGCAACCTCCTTCATGACGGCTATCGCGTCCTGTGTTCTAAAGCTGCCAACGCGGCTGGCCCTGGGAGGAGACACGACTGCCTTGGCGTCTGCGGGTGGATTGAGCAGCGCCCGGAGGTCGATCTGAGTCTCCAACAGGCCAAGGAAGATATCCTTGGGAGTTGTCGTCGCCTCTGGCACCTCCGTCATGAAAGTCTCCCCAGTCTGCGAATGAAACTGGGAGCATGCCGATATGCTTGTCCATACGAATTTGTCTCTCCCACCTGGTCGGCTTCTTGTGAGTCTTTCTGTTCGTCCCCGCCTCCCTTGACGAAGCTTGCAATGTGCGTCGAGAGATTGGTGATGGTGCCATCCTTTCTGACCCACTCTGCCGGCATGTCCACACCCAGCTCCTTGCCGATCAGGTCCATCAGCTGGCTCCCACGGTCATGATCCACGCCCTGTGCCAACAAGAGACGGACAGACGGTCGTTGTGACGTGTCAGTTGGCCCGTGTTGTGCGCGTGTCTCACGTGGAAGGCGAGCGTGTCGTCAGGTGACAGGTCTCGCTTGTCCAGGAAGTATCTCGCCAGGATCAGGAGCACGGCAGACAAGATCGTGCTTTCGAGACGCTCGAATGTTTGAAGAAGAGATGGTGCAAGGATGGTTCTCGACTTCTTCCCAACACTCATGCGCCGCCGAGATGACAGCCTCTTGTTGTGCATGCTCATTCGCGTCACAAGAATGATGAGATTCTCCTGCGTGAATTGAATGGCGTGATCCAGTCGGCTGCCGCATGTCCTGACAAGATACAAACGACGGCATGGCCTCCCAGGATGAATCGTACGGTGAGCTCACTCTTGTGTCTCAGCGAATGTGAGGAAGGGTTCGTCCTTTTTCGGAGGCTTCTTGCCGCTTGCGGTCCCCAGTGGGATGTCCTGCCACGGCAAAGGCGGCTGACCCAACAACGCGCTGAGGGTTGTCAAGACAAAGAGGTGCCCATATCTGTGGCCAATATATTGCGTCTACCTAGTGACGTGACAGAGCTGTTGAGAGGCTCGCACCGCTGCCTTGGGATAGAAGTCAGTAGGGATGTGGCTCAGCACGTGCTTCATGATCATCGAAAACACAGACGCCGCGGGATCCGTATCAGTATCGAGGTCAGCCGCTTCATTTGCTGACAGCCCAGTCTCCGCTCTCCTCCGGCTTTTCACTCGTGGGTTTGGGTAGGGAAAGAGAGCGACTGTCGACTGGAGGATCTTTTTCAGCTGGAGAGAGAGGTTGAGAGCATCTGCGGGGAGAAAGCGGCCCCACTTGTGGATGGGGTGCCATAGGTCAGAGGCTCCGATGATGATGGATCCAATCCATGGGCTCGTCGGCATTTGTATCTCCCACTCGAGCTCGTCCTTTCGCAGCCGGATAAACCGCTGAAGCTGCAGGAAGCGACGGATGTTGCGCTGAATGCTGGACGCTGCTCGGTCCTGCAGTCTGCCTCTGCATTGAATGGCGGGACAGAGACATGACTGCCTTACACTTCGATGGTGTTGCCTCACCTCCGCCGTCTATCCAATTGATCCTCCGCGGCCAGCCGATCCGCATCTTTGATCGATCGTACCGTTGCTCTCGCGCTGTGCTGACGCCATACCATCTGAATAGACCGAGCAATACATTTCGCTGTGTGCGTGTGCAGAGTGGAGCCACCCTTACCGCACCTGAATGTGGTGTGCAGCATCGCTCCTTCTCTTGAGTTCCTCGCGCCACAGGTGCCCTCTGGTGCAGCTTTGGATCAAGGATGCCGCCCGCCGCTTAGACTGGTAGGTACGAAGCTCTCGCGCTCTCTTCCACGAGGCCTGGATGTACGTGGCGCAGTCGTGCTGGTACGCGAGGTAGGCACGGGCATCGAAGCCTCGGTAGGCCCGCTGGATGGTGAGGGCTGCATTGAGACGTCTCTTCCCCTGCTTCCGACACAAGTGGCCGCGGACAAGGGACTGAAGCAGACAGGTGGCTGCGAATGTACCTCAGTAGACATCATCTCACGTCATGTCTCTGCCTGCCTGTATCTGTCGAGCGGCAGCGGAGTGATGCTGCAGGTCTCTCCGATGGAACCAGCCACGCAGCCTGGCCTGGAATTTGGTGACAGCCCGCGCGAGTCGCCGCTGATGATACCTCGCGCGCCACCTTCTGTACCACCGATAGATGACGCGACCGACGCCGCCGTCCTTGCCGAAGAGCTTGCGGCACTGCACCATCTTCCACGTGCTCTGGATGGTCGTCGCTGCGGCGTGCCGCCTCCTTATCGTCTTCCGACTGAGGTAGCCTCGCATGGCCTTCTGCAGCTTGAGCAACATACGATGCTCCGCAAAGTCACGCGAGATTATCTACATGAATGAGACACACGTACACAACCATGTGCGCATCCATGGCATAGATCAGACCAGCTGCATACATTGACGTCATCGGTGACAACGTCGTGTCCGAAGTGGTAATAGAAGTGTTTGGCGCCAGTGGGCAGCCTCGGTGGGCTGGCGTGTTTGAGGATGAAGTTGCTTGGCGGGAGGCTTTGCAGCATCACGCCAAATACCTCAGCGGGAAACGACAGCCACTGACAGTTGCAGCTCTCCTGCAGGCGGAGACACAACTTTCGCCAAGAATGAGTGACGAGCTCCTTTCTCTCGTGTCACCTTGTCTGCTGATGCGTCTCTGGATAGGAATCGTGCGCGGTTGTACGAGCCGACGTCAACCAGGGGGATATATGGCCCAAGCCTGTCGATCTCGTACTCAGTCAAATACCTGACTCACAGAGACACAGCAAGTAGACAACTCTCTTGTCGTCCCGTTCTCGGTCTGTTTGTCTATTGACCTGCATCCGGGTATCGGTGTGGGCGTGTGTTTCTTGCCTCTCTTGGAGTGTCCGTGTACGTTGAGGAAACACGTGGAGCAGAAGTAGTCGGTGCACTGCTGACACCACACGACGGCGTCGTGTACGCCACACTCGTTGCATGCCACCTTGAGCGACCCGCGGTGGTCCCACATGATCTCGTTCTCTATCAAATCTGACAGCATCTCCTTCAGCGACGGCAGAAGAGGGTGAAGTAGCTGACACACGGACAGGGGACGGTCGCTGGGCTGTGTGTGGATTGTCGATTGATTGATTGATTGACTGACTCACCTGTGTGTGTCCGGTGGGAAGATACACATAGTGCCGCACCTCGTTTATCACCACCAGATCCCAATCGGTGGGCAACGGGTACCGCAGAGCAAAGGCAGCAAACCAGTAGTAGTGATACACAGGCATCCGAGGCACGCCAGACGCAGCACTCGGGGCCTCAGCAGCTCCAGCAACTGCAGCTGACGACCGGCTCCCGTATGCTGTCGATTTGACTGTCCCCAGCAGTCCCAGTCCAAGTTGCACCGCCATCGCCTTGACCATCTTGGGTGTGTAGGGGAGACACATGCCTCGGCCAAGGTCAGGCGACGCTGCCAAGACAGATGGGCACGAACCACTACATGGCGCTTTGGGCGAGTGATCGGACGTCGTTTCTCACCTCTGTTCCTGAGGAAGATCCGTAAGGCGAGATATCCCTTGAGTGTGGTGGCCACCGTGCCGAGACGCAACATGTCGGGCTCCACGCGATCCTGGACAAATGAGGGTAGAACACAGACTTGTGCGTCCGCCTCGTGGCAGTGTCTTGACCTTCGGCAAAGTCTTGACGTCTCTCCACTGAGAGTCGTCCCCCATCCCTGCATCATCCACCGCTGGCGGGGCTTCTTCGGCTTCACCTTCAACGACAGCCTCTTCTACTGATGCTGCCGCAGGGACTTCGGCTTCCTCCTGGCGGCAAGGGAAAGCGGCGGACACGTGCTTTGGACCCTTGTCATTTGATTTGTCGTACCGCTGCTTCGATCGGCGGTGCCGAGACACTGGTGTGTTTCTCGGTGATCTTGGCCCATTGGGGCAGCTTTTCTGTGATGATCTGGACGCCTTCGATGACAGTCTTCTCAGTCGGAGGGGGGAGCTGCCTGCCACCCAGAGACAGACAACCCTCACTTCGCCACTCGACCCTCTCTGGCTGCGTGTGCCTGTGTCTGGTTGCACTTACCTCACCTGTTTCTAATGTAGTAGGCAAACGGGCTGTCCTGCATCGACTCATCGGTGTTCACAGGATGCTGTAGCGCAACACACAAACAGTGTCAGCCAGCCTTTGTCTCTATGGGCCGCTACGAATGTACCTGTTTGAGCCAGCCGTGCAGTGGGTCGACGAAACTCTCGAGCAGCACGCGGTCAGGCAGAAGAAGTGGCTTGGCCTCCATCGCCTCTTTGGTGCTCCTGCTGGCTTGCGAGGGCAGCAACTGCGGCACCACATGTGTCTGCGTCTCGGGGTACAGCCATGCCTCCGGGTGGATCATGGTTATGTCCTGGAAGTCCAGCGTCATGTAGAATATGTGACGCTTCGTACGCAACAGGCTGAACCAAAAGTCGCCGCCGACGTCGTTCGCGTGAATCGACCAGAAGCGTCCCCTGACAAGCAAAGAGAGACATATCATGGAGTCTCCGTTCTTCTCTGGTCTTCTTTACCTTGATTGCGGATCGAAGAGATACGCTTCGCTGAGTATGGACGGATCCATGCCCATGCGAAAGGTTTCGTTGACGGCGTCATGCAGGGACTGTCTGAACATGGGCGTCCAGCGAGCACCTAGCATTCCCGCCTTCTTGATCGCGTCCCGTGTCATGGCGGGAATAATGCCTCTGCAGTCTCACAAGCGCAGACAAATACACAGATCGGCACTCCGGGACCGTCGCTTTCTTGCATGCCATCCATTGAGTGCTTGCCTTGCCATTCTGACAGATGTGGACCGCACCCGCATGTCTGTCTGGTAAGGCGCCGTCATTCTCTGCCTGCCGCCGGCCAGCGTCAGAGCCCCGCTCCCTGCGAGCAGCACCTCTGCGGCATCAGATCGCTTGGCGCCAGCTACGCCTGTCCTGTCCTTCTCCTTCAACGCCTGGAAGCCCATTCGGGTCTGGTTGGCGATGAGGTCGTTGATGGTGGACAGTGGTTTGAGGCATGCCGGCTGCCACGATACGGGGAAGTTCTTGTTCAGCAGCTCCTGCACTTTTTGAGTTTGGACATGCAGGTTCTCGGTGACGGGCTCGTGGTCTGGCGGCATCACTCCGTAAGCCGTCTGCATCAAATGGGGATACGTAGAAAGAAATACATGTGTCGCCGAGCGCACGATGACTTCTCGCGCGCAGAAGTCTCACCAGCTGGTCGAGCACTGCGGAGCGGGGGCTTTCTCCCATACTCTCTTGACTCTGACAAATCAGAATTGTGAAAGCCCCGGATGTGCGCGCCGTCCTCGCGTCTTTTTTTCGTCCACTGACATACCACTTGTTTGCGGATGCCTTCCATCAGAGTCCGCAGCATCTGGCTCTTGCCTGGGCTCTGGCTAGTAGGGACGGGGGGCACAAGGATGCTAAGAGGCGGCAGCTTCGCCCCCTCATCGCTGGTCCCCTGCCTCTCTACCATCCGGTCCAACAATGCCGGCTTCGGCGCACGTGTCGCCTCATCTGGACCCTCCGGCGGCCCATCATCCGATGCAGTGGCTGCCCGCGGCTGCGGCAGCTTGTTCAGATCGCCCTCATAGTCTTGCAGTAGATGTAGATACTCGGCCAGCGGCGCAGTATAGCTGAGCGGGAAGTATCCCTTCTTGGATTTGCTGCCGAGAAGCCGGCCGAACACCCATCCGCTGGCAGTTTCGGGCAGGTCGGCTCCTTCTTGGTCCTCTGCAGGGGTGACCTCGACCACCTGGCCCACGCTGAGGGCAAGTGGTGGTGCCTTCGGGAATGGCCAGTCAATCTGCAACACACCAGAGATAAGAAGAGAACGATTGGCATTCTCTTAAAGAGATGCACCGCGCACCTTTGAAGGCTCGAAATCGAATATGCAGACGTAGCGCCTGAGAGGGAGAGCACACGCGCAATAGTCGTGTGTGCCGTCTTGAATCTCTGCGCCATGATTGTGCATGTCAAAAATGCTTACTTTGATCCGTCATCATCTGGAAGGTCGATGGCTGCAGCACCTGCACTGGACATGGTGTTTTTTTGTCCCTTGGGAGAAACTGGAGAGACTCGGACTGGGGGCGGCCCCCAAGCCGCATGACTTCGCCTCAACTAAAATCCGATGGGTCTCGGCCTTCTCCCTCTTTTGATCCTCCGCACTGTTCAGTATGATTCCGATAGGAGAGGCTGTGAGGCCGCCTCAATCAGCTGGGGACCAATGCGAAGACCAGCCAGCCGCCCTCTCGACTTTCTCGTCCAATCTCTCATCCTCTGTCAGCCTGTGGCAAGAACAGCACCATGACGTTGAAGTGAGCGCGGCTGGAACAGGAAACCGCATCACGGCCACAACGCATGGCGACGATGAAAGACGTGCATCTTTCACATCAGCCACGAGCACAGCCGCGACATTCAAGTTGAATGAAGCGAGGCAGACAAGCGTCCCGCACAGAGAGTCCTCTGGCCGTTTGTTGCGTCGCGAGCTCGAGGAGCGTATTATAGATGCGATGGTTGGTGAATTCAGGTACTGGAATGAATCGTGAGAGCAGATCATGCAGATACAAATGACTGTCTCTCGGTTCTCCTGGCCTGTTCAGGGAGGCGGCGGGCTATGAAGCCGCTCACGAAGAGTGGCCCACCACGCTCGAGTACAAGACGATTAACCACCCCGACGGCACCACGACCGAAGTGCTTGTTGGTGCCACGTTTCAGCCGGAGCCGCTTTGCATGACTACGAGACGCGTTTTCATATTCACAATGCAGCAGTTAGCGGCCAACTTAGCCATCGCCATTATCTTCGTTGGCTTTGCTTTGATTTACGCGTACTCGTGCACGTCGAGCACCTTCGGGCCGGTGAGATGGATTATGGTGTGTGTGTGTGTGTGTGTGTGTGTGTCAGATCTTTGATGTGTTCCGCCGCATTATATTTGCTCTCGCAACACCTCTCATCGCCGTACACATCACGGACGGGACCGACCTGCAAAGAATGATGACGCGGCTGAAGAAGGAGTCGGTCCTCTTCCTTCCAATGATGGCGCTCAATCTCGTTATCTCGATTGATCATCAGCTCGATGACTACAGCCAGGAGAGAAGAAAAATCATTGCTCCGATCATATGGAGCTCGACATATGTAGCCGTCTGTGTATACTTCCGTCGCACTGCGGGGTCGCTGGGTATGAGGGCCAAACGAGAGTACACGATTAAAGCTACGGCAGCCTTCGCGGTGGCATACACAATGGGCCTAATTTGGATCTTCGCCCTTTCGCCAAAGTATGCTGCTGCAGCATCTACTGATGGGGATCGATTACGTATGGCTGTCATCTACCAAGCCGTCCTCTTGCCCCCTATCGGACTTGTCAACAAGCTCGTGCGGTCACTCAAAGTACGAATTGACACAGAGACACAGCCACAGAATGACAGCGGGCTTTTTTCTCATGACTAAATGTGTATTCAGGAGGGGCCCCCAACATGCAACTCGCTGCATATCACGATGCCTGCGATGGTATTGCTGAGGAAATGATATGTCGACCCGCAGAGGTACAACCTCGGCTGTAGCCTATTTGGTTTCTCAACAGGTATACATTCTCTTCCCGAGAATGCTTCAGTCCGAGGCCGTCAAGTTCAGTAGCAAATTGGTCCACAGCGTCTTCATGTCACTCTTCGACCTGATCACGGACATCTCAGCCCCCTACTGTACGTGCGTCAGTGGCCATGGAAAGATAAGTGCACTCTTCTACAGTTATTCTTGTTTCCGTTTGTGTGTATTTCAGGGGTCCTGCTGTATGTGTGGGCTGAGAGGCTTGTCAAGGCTCGCTCCAAGAAAAGAACACCCACAGGTCATCACCTGACGAACATCGCCCGCGCCACAACCGAGGAGGAGGCTATAAGTGGGCCACCTATGGGCAGAGACAATGATGCGATGGAGAGGCAGGAGAGCGAGAGAAATGATAGCCATCTGCTGAGGCGTCAAAGCTCTATTATGAGCGCAGCGCTGTCTCTCAGCGGCGCACAGCTGGGGTGCGGTCCGACCGGAGGGCTGCAGTCGGCCTTGACCTTACTTGAAGTGTCTCCAAGGTATCCCCTGGGCCAGTCATGGTACACTACACCATGAAGCTCAGAGATACTATATCTTTATACCCTTTTCTCCAAAGGTACCTACGTGGCCTCGTGACCAAATCCACATCTGGTCCAATTGCGACTTGACGGCCCTTCTGTTTACTGACCTAAGTGTGCTTACAGTCCAAGGTTATGCGGGCGCACCATGGGAGCAGCTTGTGGAGGGAGGCATGGGTTTGTTGTTACTGGTGGCTATCGAGCAGCTATTCGAGATGTGTGCGATGTGTGTCATGATGAGATGGAACAACCTGCCCATGCTATCCTCCAGGCACGAGAAAGGCGTTGTGCGCCGCAGAGTACTGACCTTGTTCCTGGTCGCCATCTTCTGGTCAGGCGAACTGTTTAATGTCCCCGACGTGCTATTGCATGTCTCTCTGTCTGTGTGATCGTGTGTGCAGCATTTTCTCATGGCTGCCATTTTTCTCCGTGTCTATCCAGCGCGCAGTCAGTCGCACAGTTGCAAAGCCCCGATTTGTGCTGCCGGAGTCGTCCGACCCGGCTGCTCCGTGCCCATATCTTTCTCCTTCCCTCTAGAATGAACGAATCGTGAGTCGGCTGCCAGCGCCATGCTGGGCAGAGTCTTCGCGTATGTCTCGGGCAGGCCAGAGAGAAGTGTCTGGCTCATTTGACCTGTATATCAAGGTGGCCCCTCACAATGGGATTGGAGTGATTTCGTATTGGAGGCGGGGCGAAGTAGGCCGTGTGTGGGGATCATGAATGGGCACATAGGAGAGAAGGGCCTGGATCGGTCATTTGTATAAACTATGTATGGGTCGTGCCTGAGTGAGTGAGACATGCTGTGTTCATTGGAAAGCAGAGACGGGTCTCAGATTGTCGTTCAGATGTGTGTCTGGTAGCTCATACTGTGACACCACGCCACGCCAAGTATGGCACAATTAAACAGACGGACAGACAGACAGACAGACAGGCAAACACCCGCCATTCACATCAACCCTTGTTCAAGGATTTTAAGTTATGTTCTCGGTCGAGAATTCGCGATGGTTTTCTCGCCCTTCTGCCCCCCCCCCCCCCCCC